TCTTGATTGTTGTTTGTAAATGTACCAATTAATAATTGGTAAAGGCTTTAATATACTATATATACAGGGTGATTCAGCCATAATTACATTAATTTTAACCACGTACTCGGAAAAAATATGTTTCTCCCTTTTAAAAGATAAGCAAATTACCCCTTAACTCCCGCTAATTCGACGTCCTCACATTTTCTAACCGAGACGCACCGACGGACCACAAAGCGTTCGAATATTGAAGCGAAACACCGTTGCCACATCGGAACCACATAAATACTAATAAAATATTCAAATCTACCACCGTTAATCGCATCTTCCGCATTGTTTGCCTCAAATTTGGAGATTGCGTCATACGTATGGCGAGGGTATAAGTAGAAAGTATGCAGAATGCAATACAACCCGCAGTTTATTTCGGACTGTTTCGCGTGTCGGTCGTAAAAGCCAAATTTTGCGAATTTTGAATATGCGGAAGTGGTGGTTTTATATGGAGCAGGTTTCTTTCATTGATAACATTTTCCGAGTCCGCGAACCTCCGTGCGAATTTTTCAACGTCTTCGCGATACCAGGTCTCTGATACCGCGACAAGAACTTGGAGAGCATCGGCAAATGGCTTGAATGTGATAGACGCAATTTTCAATTTAGATAAGGAGCAACTTACTGTTTCGACAAGAACCATTTCAAGGCGGTTAGGGACATCCTAAAGCAAGGTCTAGAGAAAAAACGCGAGTTTCTAAAATAGTTAATACAACCGTTTATATATTATGTCTAATATTAGGAAAATGTTTAGTTTTGGCAACGTCGCTTCAAGCCGACATCGAATTGACTTGGGAACTGTGAATGTATCAATGCCGCCAGCGGTCAGGGACGATACGAAAAGGGATTTCAAATTGATTTGAAAATATTTTTTTCAGCGTAAATATGCATTTTAATTTTTTTTTAATCGCATATTCATATTCTACTCATTTTTCCCCATCTTTCCCCTTAAAATTAATAACATTATGACTGAATCACCCTGTATATTTTTTAATAACTGAGATACTTGCAATAGGTTGAAAACATCTTCGTCAACATGCAATTATTTTATATTATGAACTTTGAGTTAGCAGCTTTATGAGGTGTGTCAATGACAGTTGAAAACCAAGTATGTATAGCAGTGTTGCATCAATAATTAGACAAACTGTGTTACAACCTAATTATATTAATAATACAAAATGGCACATATGTATGAGAGTAATGAATTTATTATTTCGTTAATTTACGGTGAATGCCAGCAAAACGCAGACGCATCACGGGACCATTTCGTATTACAGAAGTCAATACAAAACTCTGTTTCCTAAAAAATAACTGAATAATTGTAATTAATATTACGTATTATGTAGTATTATTGTGTAGTGAGACCAAAAAGTTGCATTGTTATGGATGAGTCCGTTTCTGCGTTGATCCTTCAAATGAATTCATATTTACAGTTTTTATAGTTCAACATTTCTTGCATGGGAACTGAACCCCACAATTTTTAAATCTCAAAGCGAGTTAGTTTTCTTACAATTTCCAAATTTTTTTATTATTTTCCTTTTGAATGCTATCTCATTCCCCCAAAAAAAAAACGATACTAAAAAAAGACTTTTGATGACACCTGTATATTATAGGGAACCCTGGTGGTACATTATAAGAAATTTCTGTTCTCAAATCCACCATGGTTCCACTCATCAAGAAAACACGTGCTAATAAAAGTAAATTTAAATACAATCTGTATCAAACCGAGCATTTTTTCTATAATATTTTTATTTGAATTAAAATTGTTTGAAATATTCACAATCGTTGTATTTTTTAAAAGCATTCTATTATTAGCTTTTCTTTGTTTACTTTATTGTAAAGGTAATTAAGCCAATTTTAATAAATTCATAACTTTTTTCTAACAAATCTTATCAAATGAAATCAAATAATGTATTTTTAATTTATATAGTTATGTAAAAGATATGTAACCTCTCAGACAAGTGGGGCAATATTGGCAATTAGGAGTCTTGTCTGTGGGGTTAGATATCTTTTGTGTACTTAGATTTCTGATATCAAAGAACATGTATGTATGTATGTATGTATGTATGTATGTATGTATGTATGTATGTATGTATGTATGTATGTATGTATGTATGTATG